AACGTGTTAACCAAAATTTATTATTTATTATTTATTAAATAGATATGTTAATGTGAATCTGTTTACTCGTTTATTTTGAAACAAAACAATTCGGTCATAAAAATGGGTTAGTGATTAGTAGTTTTTTAATCACATATTTTATATTAAAAATAATATTTTTTCACATTTAAAAATTAACAATAACATAATACTGTTTAATTTAAAAAACTAGTTTTAATATAATCTTTTCATATTTAAAAGTGTAAATTTCCGATTGAGTACAAATTTATAATCGTATCAAAACGAGCAGCAATCAAATGATTCGGCAATGTTTGAGTTACCGAAATTAAATCTTTATTTAAGTGGAGCAAAATGATACTCGGCCAATCTTGGTTGAGTCGCTTAGCGAACAAACAGAAAATCATTATAAGCAAACTAAATTCAGTTTCATTGCAAAAAAACGCACAGTGCAAGCATCTGAAATATTTCATCTGTTGTTCTCTTATCCACACTTATGTCCGTTTTTATTAGTAGAGATTAAATTTAATCTCGATTCAATTTACTCTTCAGCTTTTTCTAATCTTAGAACTAGAAAAAGATAAAGAGTTAGTTAAACCGATATTAAAGTTAAACTACCTTTAATGAAAACGAGCATTAGACCCGGTTTTTCTGATTAACTTAATACTTAACGATAATAACGTAAAAATTACGTTTTTCTAGCTACAGTTCACCAAACTGATTTGTTTTGTAATAAATAGATAACTTTTAAAGTAATAAAATTGCCAATATAGTGATTAATCATAACTTAGAGACATAATATTGTTACATAATATTGTTACACAATCATCGTTATAAGTTAAATGAGATTAAGTTTAAATCATAAGTTTTATAGACAATAAAAAATTGAGCTTTCAAGTCATAAAAATAAATATAGAAAGTTAAATGATAAAAGAGAAAACTCGTGTTTATTATCATTTTTATTAATATTTAACGTTAAATATGGAACTACGTTCAATAAAATGAACATGTTATGTTTAAACATAAATCGCGTTAAAAGAAAGCCATTTTAGATTGCATATTTTTTTTCATCGTAAGGTAACGTCTCTTTCCTTAACGATCAACATTAACTTTCAGGACCGACGATAACCTTCCGATCGCTACTTCTTTTATTTCGCAGAGGCAAAACGTGAACGCGAAGATAGTAAAGCTTTACGAGCGCGCGTAACGAAAGAACTCATTTCTGGAAGAAAAAATTTGCAGAAGCGAAAAAAAAGGAAAGAATATTAATGCAATGTCGAAGCGATTATCGTAACGCGCTGCTCCAACCAGCTTATAACGTTAGCGAGAAAGAAAGAGAAAAGAGCGACATGAACTAAAACGAGCCACTTCGCTCTATCGACGTAAAAATGGCTGTTCTTTCACAACGCAAAGAAATGCACTAATCGCTGATGGAGATTCCATTCGGCTAACATTCGAGCAACTCATTATCATTAATTTGAATATCTGGGAAGTTCGTTTATGAAGGCCGCGGACCATCTGAAAAGAAATTCTTTATAAGAAATTTTAATAACGCAGGTTAGCTCTAATCTCGGTTTATTACACGTACATCCTGCTACTTCTCTGTTATCACGAATGTAAAAAAAAAGAAAATCTTTTAATTTTAAGTCTGTAAGATATTACTTTCATTGTTCAAGTCTAGAATGTAGTTATACTAATTTAGTCATTATTCACGCCAAAAGTGCGATCAGAGATTTGGTTTTAATCCTAAATTAGAAGCATGTGCAATATGTTTCGTTTTTTTTATTTCTGCACTAGAACTTTCTTTCTTGCTTTTGCCAAATGTCAAATCTATTTCATTTTAAGTTTCAAAAATATATACTAGTTCAATTACAGAAAATGTAATAAATAAAATTTGAAAGCAAAAATTTAACAAGATTAAACAGTCCTAAATACATATTTGGGACGTATTTTATTAATTAATTAACAGTGCGAGAATATTACTATATGTAAGCTAACTTTAATTTTGATTCAATTTAATAACAGTTAAAATTATACAGTTACTTCGAAAGGTCCAAGTTTATTAATAATCAAAAACCGTAATTCAAATTACATAACTCAATTATTAAAATATAATATGTATTTTTAATACATAATATAATACAACCCAAAAGATATAAGCGATAAATTGTCATTGTATTGACCTCGTTTTATGAACAACTTATTCGTGTGAGGATTTAGCTCAGTGATTGAGAACAATCGAGGGTTTATATGTTGATCAAAGCAACGCGTCGCGAAGTCGTACGACAGAAAAGAAACCCGTCGCTTCAAAAGAAGACTCCAACGTGCTTCCTGTCCTCCCAATTATCCAATCGCAATTTGATCCTCTTCACCATCAATACGAGATGTTACGCTTAATAAAAATCATTAGATACGCCCATTAATTACGCAATCGCGGAGCAATTGAAAATAAAACACGTCAACTGAAATTTAAAAAAAAGTATAAGCTCCCTTTTTTTAAGATAATAATACACTTAAGAACAGTCTTTTCAGTAGCAAATAAATTTCAAAAATGTGTGTATCAATCTTTTATGCAAGACACACATAAAAGGAATTTGTCAATCGAAATTCTAAAAAAGAATTATATGCTTCCATTTCTCAAGATAATAACATAATAATTTTTAGAATAACACAAGAATTTTAAGAACATCTTTTAGTAAATAATTTCATATGCATATCAATTTTTCATGCGAGGCACGTGGTAACCATTAATTAATTTTCCGATAGGTCAGCGCGCCTCGCGTTTCCTTTTCTCCCTGAATTAAAAGTCCTCCGTTTTTCCAGTATACGCAGCAGTTCATCAAGTGGACTAACGAAGCTCGAGGTAGGCGGAATTTCGCAGAACGTCGTCATCGACCCGTACCTCTTCTCTCGGCCAAATTCCCATAAATCCCGAGATTGTCGAGGGAATTCGAAGCGATCTGAGAATGTGTCTAATAGATATTGCCTCTCCCGACCTGTCACCGCTTTGTCGTAGATAATAGTCGATACCGGAAGCCGCTTTCCCGACTTGCTTTTAGCTCACGTGTGTCGCTCGAGTGTTAGAAGAGGAAGAAAAAGAAGAATACGGATCCGACAGAGAGAAATTGCAGTGCGCCAGGCGTCTGGTCGTCGAATGCGAATCCGCATCGTGGCCAGGACGCAAGGTTGCAGCTAGGATCGGGTAGAAGATGAATTACACCGCGGGAGGATGCATGAGACGCACGGACGACGGATGGCGCGGCGGACACCGAAGGAGTGAAAAAGCATGCGAAACGAACGGAGAAGAGGAATGACCGATTTCGCCGGTTGCTTCGATCGACGTGAAATAAATTTAAGGCCAATTCGCTGACCATCGATTCCGATGCGACGAGCATATGCGCGAAAAATATGCTGCAGCAGCATGCGGCTGCCACGAACGCTCGCGTGCACGCGACACATATTGATTTGATAGATGTTATCGAAGGCTGTATTTTTTCACCGCAGAAGAAATGTGTTCTCAAGTAAACGAGTAAATAAATAAAAGCAGTAGCCGTTTCTATATCCGTAGTAATTAATTGTAATTTATGTTAATTATCTGTCTATTATCGAAGACGTTCATAACGATTAGAGTCTTAAATTAAGCCGATACTTTGCAGCTCCCCGATTATCGTGATTTCAACATTCAATTATCCTGTCAATTAAAAACAAATTAGACGTCATGGAAAATATTATTTTATGCGAAACTTTTCGCTCTTTCTATCTTTCGCTTTCTCACAGATCAAGTATCAGTATTTTTCGACGTTTTAAAGGCAACTCCGTAATAAACCAATGAAATTTTTCGAAAAGACCTAATGTGAAGTAAGTAATGCGAATATATATATGGCCCATTTAATCTCACTAATGAAAATTGTATTGCGACGTGGAAAGTAATAACTGTCAATGATACGTGCGTAAAAGGATGACGAGCAGCAGAAGGGAATAGTAGAAGGAAATAGAAACTGAATCGATCCGAAGTAGCCGAGGGTGGGATTTATTACGTTCTCCTATTCTGCACTTCCAGAACAATCAGCGGACATGCCATAAAGGAGGCCGTCGCGACGAACTTAATTCAAGGATAATTGATCAAGGAGCGGCGAGGATCAAACGAGGAGGCGAAGGGGGGAGGGAGAGGGAAGGGAACCGAATTTTCGATTTCAATTAAGGTGTGAATATCTTATATCCAATTAATTAAGGCGGCCTTGACAATCGAACATATATCGCCCAGAATCGTTGGAATCGTTCTCTCAACGATCGCAAGTTGCCGACAGTTAGTTTGACCAAAGTCTAAAATTTAATTCTTAGTACACACGATCTTCGGGCCCTTTATTACACACGCTGTATCATTCGTGTCTGGGTTAATTTTCATTACTTTTACAAGTACATAAAAAATTATTAAGTATTCTTATATATACTTTTAACATCTTTAAAAAGTATTTGTAAGATTGTGTATTAGGCCATTGGCAGTGTAAAATTTTTATCCTTTACAATTAGGTCTTCAACAAATTTTTCGAGAAATTTTTATATTGTCCCAGAGTATATAAAAATGTGAAAAATTCTTACACACAATGAATTTTTATTATCATAGAAGTTGTATTTTACTTATTTTTTTATAGATTTTTTACCAAATTAGAAAGAGTCTGATTGCATTAATTGGAATTCTAATTAAAAATAGACACGTTAGAATTTGTTGATTAAATCTATTTAATTCTAGTCGAGATAACCAGAATTCTGATTAATAAGATCAGACCCTTCTGATTTAACTATTTTCAACCTAAAACTTTTGTCAGAATTTATAATAAAAAAATGTATTATGCTTTTAAAATCCAACATCGCCGACAGGGATTAAAAAAACATTTCAAAAGAAAACTGTTATATTAGTAATAGCAAAAAAATGCACAGAATACGAATGACCCAACCGTGCGTAGTTTAAATTGAGATTTAACAAAAGTTGGATTTTGACTCACCGGTGACCGGAGCCTCGATATCTATCATAGTCTTCTCCGAGCGTAGAAGGGCGGCTCCATCATTAATTATACGAAGAGCCGCAGCCTCGTCAATTCTACCTTCGAGGATAAAGTGTTGCTTGAGGACCTCCGGCCGCGGGGATCCTGTTCGTTCGTCGAAGACTTCTGCCACTGTCATTTTGTGCGACGGTGGAAACGGGACATCTGTTGACAAAACGAATTATTTACGGTGGAAAAAGTGTACATAAAAAAAATATAAACATATAAAATATTCTGAAGCTATTTTTTTTTCAAAAAAATTATTAAATACACAGAGTGTCAGTAATCGCTTGAAAAATGTTTTAAAATATTTTTGTAAATTTCTCTTCGCCGAGTAAGCCTTTGCATAAGAACAGCAGATTATCTCCTGATCTTGCACGGCAATGACATTAATTACAGTTGAGCCGCTCGCTGTAATCCCAAGTGACAATTAAATGTTCTTATTTATGAGATATGAGCGGCGCTACAAAGTGATTCATAGAATAAATCAGCGTATATACACACGACGATTGTGCCTAAATATTGATCAAACGACTTTATGCTCGAAACGAAGCGCTATATTCCCCACCTCGTAAAAATTAATGAGTATGTACATGAAGCTAAGGCACATAATCTTGTTTTTCCTTTATGTTTCGTACCCACGCGGGTGCCCGTGATTTACGATTTCGAGTCTTCTCATGCTCGCTTTTAAATCGCGGTTGGCGTTCAAGAATTACGTAGCGGATATCAGAATCGCGCATTTTCATTTTCTCGCTGCATGATAGTGTGAAATACACTCTGGTGCATGCTCCATTTGCTTCACTTTGCATTTGTATTTTTGTGATGTTGCGGAAAAGCATGGGCGAAAGAAAGTTTTGAGATTTAGTGAGCGATATGCGATAAAAATGTACGTTTAATTTTCGAATAATTACGCAAGATGTTTGCGTAACGCCAACGTTTACTACTACTCATTTACGACGTTCAAGACGATTACGCAACGTAAAATCATTAATCGCGCCTATCGCGCATACATAATGCGCGATTTATCTTTACTTAAGTGCCCGGAGGTAGCAGCTGAGAAAACAACAGATAGTGAAAAAAACCAAATTCCTTTCCGTTCATTGTGGACTGCCTTGCGGCAGTGTAACGAGTTCAAAAGCAATTATAATACTTCTCGAGAAAGCTTTAAGACTTTCAAGCAAAATACTTCGAGTAACGTCTTTAGTGTAATCCAGAATTTTTCAACCGGAGTACCGCTTTCGAAGTGCGCTGTGACAATTTTAAAGAAGACAAAGAGAAGGGAAAATTTAGAAATAAATAAAAAAAAAGCGAATAAAGTGCGAAGTAAAAAATATTTTAAAAATTATGAAAATTATATACTGCATTTACTTTTATTATAATCAAAGTGATATTGCAATAAAATCACTTTTAAAACAATAAAGTTAAAAATAAAAACTTACAATTTTACTTTTTATTTTTTTAATATTGGCAGTATCCGATAAAAGATTTATGTTGAGCGTTGAAGCGTGTATACCTTGATATACTTTGACGTACATTGATAAATTGAATGATATACTTTGATAAATTTGGTTCGTTATTTAATGTGGAATTGAAATAGGTTAAAAAACGCTGATATAACCGATTACTAACGTCGACTATAAATTACTATTTCGCCTCATCTTTTCTTTCTCTCTTCCTTGTGGCTGTTATTTTAAAAATATTTTGCCTTATCTATGTCAAACACATGTAAAAACAACGCATAAGTAAAAATTAGATATTTCAATTCACATGGATCGATAACGATTTACGAAAGAATAGGTAACAGGTGGGCGACAACGAGGCACCACTGCGAACAATATCTCGCAACGTCGGCCAAGCCGATGCAAAAACGTATGACACTCAAGGTTGAAATCGTTTATTATTGTTACGCGGCACGCTACGATCATCGATCGAACATTTCCCGCCAAGGTGAAACGCATTTACCTGGTCTGTGTCTTTCGCGTATTTGGGCCTGTCTTCTTGAAGTATCTATTGAAGGGCGTAACTTAATGGGATTTTTCCATTCCATAACGGGATTTTTCTTTTGCACTGGTGAATTCCTTTTTACACCGCAGTGATGCTCCGTTTCTTTAGATTTTTTCGATCGTTGAGGCGATCGACACAACGTCGACATGTTCATGAACTTTCTCGACCAATGACTCCCAAAGCAACCGCTACTCTGCTGCTTGGTCATCATTTGCTCTATATAACATTGAGTCAACTTGGCGTTTCGATTGTATAAATCGTCAAATGTATCTGTTTTCTTGCCATTCTCAATGACGCTCGAGTGATCGAATGACGTCGTCGGGTGATCTGCCAAGCGAGTCGATTCCACATTCCCGGGATTACCAACCTCCACTGCAGAATCGACGATCGTCTCTTCTCGATCTGGACGGTCGCTTTGTTTCGTCCCTCGCGGCGGAAACTGATCGATCGAACTGTCGGACGTCACCTTCGACGACGAACCGTCGTTGTCCTGGACGACTTCCATGGTCGAATAATCGGATGTCAACTCGTCCTTCGTCTTGTCCCCCGCTGAGATTTCGTGTAAGTTGCAGTCGACAATCCGCAGTTTCTCTGCATTCGCCAGGTGTTTTAATGTGCGAACTTTGTGCTAATATTTATCGCGTGCGTTCATCTAAACGTTCGTCCAGAAGAGCGAACGCGATTCTGATGAACGTAGAAAGCTCCCTCTCTCTTTCCCAAATAAGAAACGTCGGCGAAGATATTACAAGAGATTTTCACAGGCATTCAAAGAAATACAGGTTCTTGATATATTGTTAAATACTAACATTTCGTGAACATTACAGTTCACTTTATCAGATCGAGAAGTAACCAGATTACTTCTTATTCTAATAAAATAAACTGCAATGTTCAAGTTGACATTCAACCCTCTACCGGCAACATGGCTCGTTAAGGATCTTCGAAAAGAGCAAATTTTTTTATTGTTCCGGATTATTATATGAAAAATTGAAAAAATTTTGATATACTTGTCCAACTTTAATATATTTTTACCATCATAGAAGAATTATATTTTACTTACCTTTTACAGATTTAAATTTACTGAAGAATTTACTATCAGAATTTATAATCAAAATATCGACGATAACATTAAAGACCCCAGTTGCCGACGGAGGGTTAAATGCCCACGTTTCATGAATATTGTAGTTCACTTCATCAGGACGAGAAACAATCAGGTTACTTTTCGCTCTGATAAAGTGAAGTGCAATGTTCGTCAAACAATGGTACTTAACAATGTTTCAAGACACATTAATCCGTAAACTACGTAATTTCCTCGAAGAAAACCTGTGGAAGCCTCAACGGAGGTATTACTTCACAGACGTCTCTTCTCTTGGAGTTTCACGTCCGTTTGAATCGCGTCTACCTTTGTGGATGTTCAGATGAAGGCGCGTGGGTATCTCGATGTGGACTAGTTGAGCATACCTATTTTCTCGATCAATGATTCATCGCATGATGAGCACGCTTCCTCATCATGCGTCGTGTCCTCATTGCACATCTTGAGTACAGGTGTAAAAGAATTATTCAGAGAACGGTCCATTTGCCTCCACTGTAGAAACCTCTCGAATCTTGGCGTAAAGTATAACGTCTTATCTACTTCCTGCCGATCACTATCGAGATCACTTGTCGATGTCAGAGATGCGTTCGGCGATGAATTGGTAGCAAAAAACACAGTCTCAGGAGAAAAGTATAGATTATTACGTGCACCGTCAGGTGTACGAATATCCTGTTCTTTGTCGGACATGTTGAAAACAGGGCGGTCGCAAAATTTCTTGTCAAGCATACAATATGTAGAAATCTTCTCGTATCGATAAAAATCGATTTTCGCGAATAAAATGGGGATCCTCGGACTGAAAGTTGAACGATTCTCGTTGCGACATTGAAATCGCAGAAATCCACCTAATTGAACAACATAATCGATACAATCGATATAAGCGCTCGCTTGTACCAGGAGGTGGCGACATATCCTGAAGCTCCCGAAACGCGCCACAATATAAAACGTGATTGTGTCTATCTTGTCAGTTGTCTTGTTAAATCAAAATCGATCGAACAAATTTCATATGTCATTTATTTGCTGCAATAATTCATAACGTAATTCAAAAAAGAAAATTTTCAAGAAAATGAATATTCTAAATTATTAAAATTTTGTAATATTAATTTTGAAATGTATTTTTTATGTATTAATTGATTGTAGAGGAAAAAGAAATAAGAGTATATTTTAAAGTATTTTTTTAAGTTCCATTCTTTTTTATAACGATTTTTTAGTTATGTCACTGTCGTAGCAAATGAGCGATATATTCTTTCGCAAAAAGATCAGTGATTAATAAAACCTGAGACTTGAGATATACAAAATTGATAAATACGAACAATAGGAGAGAATAAGAAGAGATTTCTCTCTGGTATATATACGGTTTCTGATAGATAAAAAATCTCTTATTTTTCATTCCTATTGCCTATACTTTTTAATTGTGCTTAACATTGGATCCAAAAATTTGTCAAGAGAGAGGCTATTAATGCGCTATAAGTGAAATTGTTTTAAGATCAAATATGATTAAAGATTAAATTATTATTTAAATTATTAAATTGAAAAAGTATTAGTTAAATGTATAATTCATAAAACGTTTTATTTAAAATTATATTAGCACGAAAAAGAATAATGTAACAGAATCCATAAACAATGAACGCCGACATAAATAAAGTTATAAGCGCACAATAAAAATTCCAAATAGATATACATGAAAATATGGATTATATACGTTGTGTAATAGGATAATTATTAAGTATTAAGCAAAGAGTCATAATTGTATTCATAAAAGTATAAAATAAGAGACAACGCAGTAGGCTATTGCCAGTCGCGATCATCTTCATGATTTTTTTCTCGAGTCTCTTCCACGAATTCCATAAGTTCACTAAAACCGCTATCTCTAGAATTAGTTCGTGATGGTATGATTCGTTGAAACACATTGTCCCTCATTCTTTGATTCCTGTTGGACGCCATTAGTAAGAAAGTCACCTCGGATACATAGATTTTCTCCTATACATATTTATTGTTTCATCATCTTTTTCAGTCATAATATATCGCGGCATTCTATTTTACCTCGTAATCTGAAGGATCCTCTGATTCGCCA